GGTAGAACAGACAAGATTTGTTGCAACAAATCAGTGAGTTACATTTTTATGGAACTACTTCAGTTTTTTTAAGATGACACAGTATTTGAAAAACTTGAAATAATTGGCATTTAAAATTTAAGAAAGGGGCGCCTGGGTGGCGCAGTCGGTTAAGCGTCCGACTTCAGCCAGGTCACGATCTCGCGGTCCGTGAGTTCGAGCCCCGCATCAGGCTCTGGGCTGATGGCTCGGAGCCTGGAGCCTGTTTCCGATTCTGTGTCTCCCTCTCTCTCTGCTCCTCCCCCGTTCATGCTCTGTCTCTCTCTGTCCCAAAAATAAATAAACGTTGAAAAAAGATGTCATTTAAAAAAAAATTTAAGAAATTTCTTCTTGCCAAGTTCTGAAAAATATTATTTCTTGAAGACTTAAAAATCTGCAACACTGAACCTACATTTGATTATAGCAACATTAGCTGGACTTGAATATGGCCACTCCCTCCACAAGGGCTGTGGTAGGTGACCAGATGGCCAGTGTGCTCATAGCAGTCCTATTTTATGCCTGTTTTCCTGGTACTTCTTAATAGTGCCCATTTTCACTAACAAGTTTAAAAGATAAGTTATATGGTCATTGTAGATTGTGGTCTCTAGTTGTCTGTAATACAACAACCCTTTTATCTTATTATTGGCCTCCTTCACACACCATAAGCCTGCCATTTGTGAGCATTTAAATGTATTATTACTGCTCTAGTATCCCTCATCTAGTTCATATATGTATAAATACACAACTAACTCCTCCTTAATGATGGATAGAAGCTTTGGTTGTACTTTCCCCTTTGGTATTACCTTCTGTTTGCTTCCTCCTACACAGCATGGTCTTAACTAAATATTCTGTGTAGTATCTTTTTTTTTTTTTTTTTTTGCCTTATAGATCTTAACTATAGAAGGCATGATACTGTTACCATAACTTAACTATTATGTTCACACTCTCATATTTATCTTTATACCAAGGTTGTACTAAAAATTTCATGTAACATCTCTTTACTGCTGCAGCTAAATGGTTCTTAATCATAAACTCAAAACTGGCTAATTTAATTTGTAAACCCTGAACCAATGCTTGGTATGTGCCAAACTCTGTGAAAGTCATTGAGCAAATAGAAATAAAAGACATGCCATTCATATTATCAAAAGTCATTAGTTCCCAGGGCGCCTGGGTGGTTCAGTTGGTTTAGCATCTGACTTGGGCTCAGGTCATGATCTCACAGCTTGTGAGTTCGAGCTCCACGTCGGGCTCTGTGCTGACAGCTCAGAGCCTGGAGCCTGCTTTGGATTCTGTGTCTCCTCTCACTGCCCCTAACCCACTCGCATTCTGTCTCTGTCTCTCTCAAAAATAAATAAACATAAAAAACAATTTTTTTAAACCATTAGTTCTCTTCACAAAATAGTCTTTACTTTTGTTTCACATCTCAGCATATTTTTCTTGTCTTACCATCTTTCTTATGAAGGTAGTGCCAAATGGTGTGTGTGTGTGTGTGTGTGTGTGTGTGTGTGTGTGTGTGTGTTGGGGGAGAAAAGACAGATTTGAGCAAGGACATTCCACTTCAACACATATACTTTCATTGCATCGAAACAGAGGTATTAAAGAGCTAGGGTACTTGTTACTTCAGGTAAAGCCTCACAGGTTGGCTGTTTCTTGAGGAGTTACAGCAATCTCAATTTAGATTTATGGTTTGAAAATGTGCTTTCCTCAGTTAACCAGTGCCAGTTGTCTGCTCAAGGATGACCAGCATCCCTGTAGAACCTAAACCAAAATAAAATATCCCTATTTTTATTCATTTTCTATCATCTATATATTCTTGTTCATTGTTGTAAAGTTGACTAATACCTTCCATTCAATAAGTTATAGCATTTTTTCTAGTCTCTCTGGTTGAGAATCTGGGCTTTTATGAGGCTACCCTGGAGATCTTTTCTGGCCTATTCACTAGGTATTCCTTTCTCAGAGGAGCTGGTTAGGCTCAGAAAACCTTAGCTGGCCCAATTTCTAGGGACTGGTTATAAATATTCTAACTTGAATCAGAAAGAGATAATCCACTGCACTGTGAATTATGGTTTTCAGATTTCCAAAGTCACATAGTAATGGCCTTTTTTTTTTTTTTTATTTGGTAAGTGTCTTTCAATTTCAGAAACATGACTACTTGGCATTTTAGAGGAAATAACTTTGACGTGTTGGCTTTTCCAGTGAATTTTAATATAATATTCTTGTAAGAGGACTGAACTAAACTATCTCCAAGAATTTAATTGATAAACATGAATGTTCTATATATTGATTTGTACTTATTGTTTTATAGTAAAAATCTAATTGCTAAGGGACTATATGATATTCATGTTCATGGTGCGTAGCATTCTTTCCCTTGGGGAAAACATAATGAGTAATACTGTATATTGAGAACTATAATTCCAAAGAAAACCAAGATGACAGACACATGTATCTGAAATTAATTGCATCTGCTTCTCTGTAGGAAAGTCTATGCCAGCAAAGTTCCAACAATTATCAGGAATTTCCTCAAGGAATATTGTCAGGTCAGTAATCCCATGATATTAAACAGATATGCTTATTCCACTGCAGGGATATACATATCAAGGACAATGGATATTCAGTTCCAATTTTACATGGCAAATACTGACAAATTCCTAATTTTCAAGTTCTCATTGTTTGTTTATTTTAGGACCCATAAAGATTTTTGTCATAACTTTAACTCAATCACGCTTGGTACAATTAAGCTATAGTCTATGATATACTGGTAATCTGGCTCTCACCCACACCAAAAAATCCAGGATTTGTAGCATTTGCCAATTTCCACAGTGTAAATTCTCCCAGCATTGCTAATTTCTCCTCTACTTTTATAACTGGCTCTCCCCAAATTCCAGAATATTTAACAATTGACTTTCTAGAGTCTGTACCAGCTGGCTCGGAGAACACCATTAGCCGTTTTTTACTAGTTGAAATCTAGTTCTGAAGTTGCATCTAGCCTTCTTCTATTGATCTTTTTTGTTTGTTTGTTTGTTTTGTTTAAAAAAATTTTTTTAAAACGTTTATTCATTTTTGAGAGATAGAGAGAGACAGAGCATGAGCGGGGAAGGGGCAGAGAGAGGGAGACACAGAATCCGAAGCAGGCTCCAGGCTCTGAGCCATCAGCATAGATCCCGACACAGGGCTTGAACTCACAAACTGCGAGGTCATGACCTTAGCCGAAGTGGGACGCTCAACCGACTGAGCCACCCAGGCGCCCCTTCTATTGATCTTTTGATTAGATTCAGAACACACATTAATAAACCACCTCTTAGCAAAATCTATTAAATTTTTTTAATGTTTATTTTACTTATTTTGAGAGGGAGAGAGAGAGAGAAAGAGAGAGAGCAAGCGCATGAACAGGGAGTGGCAGAGATAGAGATAGAGAGAGAGAGACAATCTCAAGCAAGTTCCCTGCCATCAGTGAAGAACCCAATGCGGGGCTAAACTCATGAACCCTGAGATCATGACCTGAGTCAAAATCAAGAGCCAGACACTTAACTGACTGAGCCACATAGGTGTCTCAGAAAAAAAACCAAACAAACAAAAAATCATTTTACAGATAGTGGTATCTGTTTATGCTGAAACTATTGGTTTCATTTGTAGCTAGGGACTTTTTTTTTTTTAAAGTATGGGACAGAGGGAAGCTTACCATCACCTCCTAAAATTCCCTCTCATTCACATAGTTAGGAAAAGTATGTGGGTGGAAAGAAAGTCACAGAGGCAAGTCAGTGGAGAAAATAAATTTAGGAAGAAGTCATAAGTGAGCACATTCGATGGAATACATTAGAGAAAAGTATAAGGAAAAACAGAATGTAAAAAAGGATTGATAGATAAAGATCTATTTTCATTTTTTAAAACACACATTAACACACAGGTAAATAGATGTTGTGGCATTTTAGTTGTTTGACTGCAAAGTCAGTATAGTTGGGATTAATTCTACCTTCCATATCCATCACTTAATTCAGTTTTGGTAACTCCTAGGACCTTCTTATACAATACAGAATTCATGTCAACTTTATGGTATTAATTTTTTGGAACCATTTTATTATCCATTTAAATTCCTTAAACTTCACTTTCCAAGAAAGTGTTATTTTTAAAGGTTCTAAAGACAATAACTACCAGCAACCTAGGTTTCTCATCCTATTACTGCAGATATCTCCCTAGGAGTTGTGCTTGGAGTTAAATGTAGAAACCACTCAGATCTTCTTGCTAAATTCTTGGAATACTACAGTCGACAAGTAAGAAATAACAGGTAGCTATACCTTAGGAGATGACGAAAATTCATCAAAGGGAAGAGGAGTCTAATATGATGAGCTTGATCTGAGAAGGAAAAATGTCTTGGTTGTCATAGGTGAGAAGGAATTTCGAGTGTGACACTGAAGCTGTTGCATAATTCTTGCAATTTTTTTTTTTTTGCCATAAGTCTACGTTCTGGGGATGAGAATATCAAAATCTGTTTTGTTAGATTTTTATAAAACATATTGGGGTCTAGGAGGCAAAATGTTGGGACAGCTCTAACAACCCTTGGCATTATAACTGATGCCATGTCCTCTACAAAGAGCACTCCTGAGGTCTTTTTCATGTGGTTGGATTTCATTTCCAGAACTCAAGAAAGAGAGAGTTACAGAATTGTGTCATTATGACAAGGACCAGGAACCTACTTGAGAGCAGAGGTCAAGTTCATTTCTAGTCTTCCCTGGAAGTTTTCCCATCATCATCAGTGACCTCATGGCTGGAAAGTTTGAATTTTACAAAGAGTTATGAACATAGAATGGCTTTAATTAAAGAAAAAGATAGTCAATAATTGTTGCTTTGACGTTTATAAGACAATAATTCTGGTAAAATCATGCTCCATGAGAGAAATGGAAAGTTCTATTATGCTATTACCAGAAGCTGAGAATAAAATTAATTTAACTTGAAATAAATCTTCACAAAAGTTATAGCAAACATACCGAGCAGCTTCTGAATATCTCTCCAGACATCTAAACACTGTTGCCTGGCGAAGATGATTTCGGAAATAAGCTGGGTTTAAAACAATACTCCTGTAAAAAGATAAAAAGAAATGTAAATGTTATTAGGTTTTAAAGGTCAATTACCAGAAGTGTATAGGAACGAAATAACATGTATTCAATTTTATGTACTATATATTTTAAAAGATACTAATGAATGATGTCCTTTTCCTCCTGTAACTGTCAGTTAAGACAAATAAACAAGTTGAAAACTAATTAAGTTTGCATGATAAAAGCAATTTTATTTATAGCACCTAGTATCTTCTGTAGATATGACAGTGACAAAAAATTTGAATACAACTTATATTACAATAAGACATGTTATTTTATTTTTTAATGTTAATAAATCAGGTAAAAATCAGAGGTTATTTATGGTAATGTGTATTTATAATGGAGGAGTTAGTTATTGAATTTCAGTTAAAAGAAAGGAAATGGAATTTGGGTGACATGTTTATTTGTACTAAAAAAATAATTAGGTTCTGTGTCTTCCTTCAGCTGGACAATGTAGTGGCATAAAAGGAATCATGTACCATTGGTTAAGGACTTGAGTCTTGACCTTGCCACTTTTGGTTAGCCCTTACTCATTTTGGGTTTCCATTTCTTCTTTATTAAAATTACAAGGCTTGGCTTGAGGATAAGATTATCTATCTTTACTTGCTTATTTTTCCATCATCTGAGTTCTGGAATCTCAATCCATGCCCAGAAGAAAAGATGATCATTCCCCAGCTATCTTCTCCCCTAGAGATAAACTGGCAGACATTTCACTTCTTTGATTCACTGAGAGCTAAGCACCGTTCAAGGTATTTGATATAATGAGATGAACTAGACAGATGTAGTCCATGGCCCATCACCAAGTGGGGACAGAGCTATTAATGGAAGTTTGAAATGTAGCTTATAGTAACAGTGTGTTGTGTTACTGATATGGGATACAGAGTGTTATAGAACCAACACAGTATTATTAAGCAAACTTCTTGTGAGCCTGTTTTTTACAAGTTAAATGTGAATCACTTGGCATTAATTCATTATTGAAGTAAGTGGTTTTTAATCTTTTTTGAGAAGTTCACAGAGCTTTTTGAGAGTCACATGTAAGCTGTATACCTCTACCCAGAAAAATGCACACAACATAAGTGCCCAAATTTAGCGAATTCATGTGATCCCTGAAGCCTAGTCATGTCCAGATTAAAAAAAACATGCCAACAAAAATAATTCCTTTCCCAGATCCATTGCTTCTAGACAGAATAAAGTAGAAAAGAATCATCTATTTGGCCCATGTAGAATCATAGAATTATATGATGATAAGATGGCTTGACTGAATAATTTAGCTCACTTTAAACACAAGTTAACAGAAACCAGGGAGGTTATGGGACCTTTCTAAATCATACACAATAAATTAGTGGAAGAAAGTTTCAGGTTTATTGTGTTTCCTGTCCCTAGCCACAGTACTTCATATTACACAGATGGCTTTTCGTATGATGATTTCTGAATTAGAGGGGCCTAAGTTAGCGAAGTTTTACTTTACCCTATGATTAACAATTTGTACAAATGAATGCATTAAACCCCAAGAACACAGATCATTTCCTTTGGTGATTTCTGATTGAAGTGTTGGAAATTTAAAAACTATTACATGAATTCATTCCATATCAGTACTGAATACTAATAACTTATGCTAATTCAGAAAAAGAGTACAGTTACAAGGTATGTTTATGCATTTTATCCTTGTAAAAGTAATTTTGTAAAAGTAGATCAGAGGGAATAAGATCAGAGTTCTGTCAAGGGCCTAGGTCTTCTGACTAAATAGAATTTTTTCTTCCACATTATAGCTAATTCTTCCCTCTCTCTTTGTAATCATTCATTCACTTGTGCATTTTTACTAAGTTCCTACAAATGTGATGGGACAAAATCCTTACTGAATGGATGTTTCTAGCTTTTGACATCTCATTGCCCATGATGTAGTGTTCTGGCATTGCTGAGCTATTCTCTAAGAATCTTGCTTTGTCAGACAAATTCTTTTGACAAAAATGCAGACCTGAGAGAAGGATGGAGTGTGGGGGGCAAGAGAAGTAATGAGGGAAAGGTTTAGTAAAAGAGGGGGAAGGAGAGGAAGAGTCATCAAAAATAGTTTGGGATGTAGGTGGAGAAGAAGATTTTCATGGATAGTGAGGTTTGATGAGGTAAACAACCTAGGAATTGTTTCAGTGTGACTTTAGAAAAATGATAGATTAAAAAAATTGTTTGTAATTACAAGTCCTCTTTCTGATGTTGAAAAAATAAAAGTAGAGAACATGAGCTTAGAAATCACTATTGGTAGACTGGAATGGTTTCTTTTAACAATAACATCACCTCACACTGTACCATGTGAATCACAGCTTTACCTGATAGACCCAAAGAAGATCTGGACCCAGTCTACCCTGAGTGGTGGAGTTATAATCATAAAAGAATGTTTAGAAATTTGAGATGAGATATTATTTTTGGCAATTTATTATTTTTGGCTCTCATAATTATTGAGGAGGCAGTCTAGGACCAAAATGGACAATCTGACTGGCGTTAAAGTGAAAAAACAAGTAAACCAACAAAAAGCCCAACATCCCTGCAATTCTAATCAGAGAGGGAAGAACTCTGTGCTGATGGTCTGATTTTATTACCGAAGAAATGACTCTGATTTAGCTATGTTGATAGGGCTTTTGGTAAACAAACAAACAAACAAACAAACAAGATCATGTTAAATATTAAATTATAGAACTCATTGAATTTTGGTCACAAGAATGGGGGGAGTGTTAGTAACAGGCCATGATTGCTCATTCAATTGACTAGCACTATTCTAACAGAATGAGATCATGTAAAATAATAAATATTATAATAGATAAAGGCATATTTTCTTTACCAATTTGTTGGCTGTGGTATATCTTATGCTTTTTATGATTTGCATTTGTGAGTGCTTTGGAATTAATCTTTTATATTCAAGTTCACATAATTTGATTTGTGTGCATGCATGCATCTGCACTTGTTTTATTAAGTCCTAAGGTCATAATATTGTTGTAAATCCAGAATGTAAGTCTCTTCTGGTGATTATTTGAAGTCTCTCAATTCACTTGTCAAATAATTTATCTTTCTCTCAGTGATTGATATGCCACCTCTATTACATACTAAGTTTACATGCACTAAGTTGGATCCATGGCTGCACTTTGTGTCTTACACTTGTTCTACGTGTTCTTTGTATCTTACAATTTGTTCTATGCAGCACAAATTGTTTCAATTATCGTCACTTTAGTGGTGCCTGGGTGGCCCAGGCATTTAAACACTGGCCTCTTCATCTTGGCTTAGTTCATGATCTCATAGTTTGTGAGTTTGAGCCCTGCATCAGTCTCTGCCCCGCTGCCAATGGTGCAGAGTCCGCTTGGGATTCTGTCTCTCCTCTCTGCCCCTCCCTTGCTTGTGCTTGCTCTCTCTCTTTCTCTCTCTCTCTCTCTCTCTAAATAAATAAACTTAAAAAAATTAATACTGTCACTTTAAAATACACCTTAATTTCTGGAAGAGAAGAACTGCCTAATGTCCTTTTTTAAAATTTTTATTTATTTTTATTTTTTTCTTCACAAAATAGATTTTTTATTGTCTTTCACTCAAAAGAAATAAGATCTCTATGAACCATCAATCCATTTATAGGAATCACCAAGTGGTCAGACCATGAAATCAAAGGAGTGGCACCAGAAATCAAGTGAGTACTCTAAATCAAAATCAAATCCTTAGTATGATATCAGAGACCCTAGGAGAGCCCAGACCACCCATCAGGAACAGAATGCAAAGGTCTCTAAGAAGACCCATTTACAAGGATGGAGTAAGCAGGGATCCAAAGGAGAGGATCAATCTCATCTGAGTCACAGTACCAAACTCTCAAAGATAAAATGCACCTGGCAGTTAAGGAGATTTTCTTAATCAGGCTATTGTAATTGTTAGAATGTTCACTAATGAGAATTACCTCAAAAAAATAAAGAGGGCCTGAGTCATCCAGGGTCTTATGAGAATGATAAGAAAGGATGAAGATGGGGCTTATCTGAGTCACTGAGAAACAGTCTCCACTTTTTAGACTAGGTCTAATCTTGAAATGTGGAGGAGCCGGGCATCCTCTGTGGATTAGCCATTTCTCAGGAAAACAAATGGGTGGGGATTTCTTTACTAACGCTATTTTTTATGAGCACAAAGCTCTGGTGAAGTTCAATATTGTCAAATGTAAGCTTGTGAGATATAACTCCAAGTTGGATCTTGATTTAAGTTGTAGTTTCTTGGGAATAGTTTTTTTTTTTTTTTTTTTACTTTTAATTTATTTTTTTAAATTTACATCCAAATTAGTTAGCATATAGTGCAACAATGATTTCAGGAAGAGATTTCTTAATGCCCCTTACCCATTTAGCCCATCCTCCCTCCCACAACCCTTCCAGTAACCCTCAGTTTGTTCTCTGTTTTGTCCCCCTCCCTGTTTTTATATTATTTTTGCTTCCCTTCCCTTATGTTCATCTGTTTTGCATCTTAAAGTCCTCATATGAGTGAAGTCATATGATTTTTGTCTTTCTCTAATTTCGCTTAGCATAATACCCTCTAGTTCCATCCATGTAGTTGCAAATGGCAAGATTTCATTCTTTTTGATTGCTGAGTTATACTCCATTGTGTGTGTGTGTGTGTGTGTGTGTGTGTGTGTATAGATAGATAGATAGATATAGATATAGAAGATATCTAGAATAGATAAAGAAGATTTGGTATATATATACATATATATATACACACATATATATACACATATACATATATATACATATACATATACACATATGTATATATATACCACATCTTTATTCATCAACCATTGGACATTTGGGCTCTTTCCATACTTTGGCTATCATTGATAGTGCTGCTATAAACATGGGGGTGCAGGTGTCCCTTCGAAACAGCACCCCTGTATCCCTTGGATAAATACCTAGTAGGGCAATTACTGAGTCATAGGGCAGTTCTATTTTTAATTTTTTGAGGAACCTCATTACTGT